ACTTACAATTTCATATTATATAATATGTATCTTTTTATTACCAGTGCTTATATTCCTCAACTAGTGTTGTTGGTTTGAATGAATAGAGGTACAAATGAATCTCAGGGAGTGCAAATAGTTCCATAAAACTTTTTGGTTTTCCCAATTATTTGTTGCTATTTGCATCAAGGACCAATCAAAAATAGATGGGTGACCTTCACCTTACTTAGACAGAAAACAGGAAAAGGGTGGGAATTACTATGATTAAAACATATTTATTTTACATCCATGATGGATATTCCAGGTGGTTTTGGCAGGCATCTTCTTGGCCAAAATTTAAGCTAATTTGGGCTCAATGTCTAATAATATCCAGACTTGTGTCCCAGGGACCTCAAAGGTCAAATGTATTTTCCTAGATGGGTCATGCTGTGGGGCCTTGACTTTTATGAAATGTGGGCAATGCAATGACTATTATTTTAGAAATATTTACAGGTCACAAAGGAAGAAAACACTTTAGCTGTCTTTTATCTGTTTGGAATCTTCATGTCACTCACAGGGAGCTAGCTGGTGGCTTAAGAATGTTTTTAAGACCTTCACTGGGTTGAGGTGTGCATCAGAAGCTGAAGAGGGCAATCATGTAAGGACAGATCCAGGTTTCGTAAGGCTTGAAGCTTTAAAAGTGCCCTATTTAAGAAAACTAACAAAGTCACAAATAAAAAATTAGATACAAAAATGAGTATTTAGGCTCAGAGCTTGTACCTCAGTTAGTAGGGTGCCAACCACATACACTGAGGCTGCTGGTGGGTTTGAGCCTGGCCCGGGCCTGCTAAATAACAATGACAACTACAACAAAAAAAATAACCGGGCATTGTGGCAGGCGCCTGTAGCCCCAGATACTTGGGAGGCTGAGGCAAGAGAATCACTTAAGCCCAAGAGCTAGAGGTTGCTGTGAGTTGTGATGCCCGGGTACCCTACCCAGGGTGACAGCTTGAGGCTCTGTCTTGAAAAAATAAAATAAAATAAAATAAAAAATAAATACATAAAAATAAAAATGAGTATTTAATTAGAACTCTTAAAGCTTGAGCTAAATTAGATTCCAGCAAATGCACCTCTATTATAGCAGAAGCAACATTTCAAGACAAAGGAACCTGTGCTATAATGTTGATGGTTAGGCCATTTCTAAACACTCAGCAGTAAGAGAACTACGTCTATGCTAACTGTAGCACCAGAGACAGACATGAAATGCCAAGTGCTTGGGGTAGAGAGAAATGAAACTGTAGGCAAGACAGAGGAGAAGGGGACACTGTAAATTGGCAGGTGACAATCACATGCCCAGGAAGCCTTCTATTAATGGAAATGTTTCCAGAACTGGGAATCCTTGGATTTACTTTTCAAATATATTAAAACCAAAAAGACATCACTTACTGGCATCAAGAATCTTTCTAAATACTGTCCCTGCCCCCAATTTTCCTGTAGGTGTAAAAAATTTTTTAAATCAACATTTTTCAACCATTGAGATTACAGGAAAGAATAAAATGAATAAAAGTTTATTGAATAGACGAATGAGTCAAATAAATGATTGCAGTTTGGACAAATGAAGCCAGGCTTTTTTTTTTTAAAGGCAGAGTTTCAAGCTGTCACCCTGGGTAGAGTGCTGTGGTGTCATAGCTCACAGCAACCTCCAACTCTTGGGCTCAAGTGATCCTCTTGCCTCAGTTTTTCTATTTTTAGTAGAGACGAGGTCTCACTTTTGCTCAGGCTGGTCTTGAGCTTGTGAGCTCAAGCTACCAACCCACCTCAGCCTCCCAGAGATGAAGCCAGTCTTGATAATTTTTTATCCCTAAAGATTCTGTGAAGTACATTTTATCAGACATCTCTGCCTGCCTTTGAGAATTCTTTCCTGTATATGGCCTCTGTTTGATGGCAAAAGGAGTAGGAAATGAAGTGAACTTTCACTCAGTGCCTAACACATATATGCCAGCTGTTTTGTGTGGTGTTTATATACATATTTAAGTCTTGAAACCATTCTGCAGTTGAGAAAACCAGAGTTCAGACAACTTGTTTATGGTCTCCCGGGGAGCAAATGGCAGCGTCAGGCCCCACATCCAGGTTTGTGAGGGCAGGGCTCGTTCTGACTCTGTAACCTCTCTCTGGGCCTCTTCTTTGCAGCAAATGTGAAAGACACAGGAGAATAGTGACAGGTGGAGGTAGGACGGATTATGAAGGCAGGACTGTGGTGTAGTGAGAATCATAGTGTTGCCTGGTGGCAGTATGTCATTTGGGGCCTTGAATTGACCAGCTGTGAGACCCGAGGGTTGGACTGGTGACCTCTGCCTGGGGTGACCACATGGCACAGGTTGCCAAGATGGCCCCAATTTACACCTATTGTGCCACAGCAACTATTCTTAGCACCCTTTCCACTCTTAAGGTCGCCCTATACACAAGGTTCTTTCTGGCCCTTAATTTCTGTGACTTCAAATTGAACCCAATAGTACTTCCTTATGACTGATGCAACATGAATTTCATTTTCCAGGCCTGTGAAGTACAGGGACTGACAGCATGTGAAGTGACCCTGGTTTAGAGGCTGCTTTGCATTTGCCTTTCTTTGGGGCAGACTTCTTTCTACCATATTTTTCAGGAAGGTCAAACTGCATCTTTTGTGAAGTGGGTCATTAGGCTGTTAATACCAGATTTTTTCTATCTAGGAGCTAATGCTTCTTTCCTTTAAAAATACACTAGTAGACTTGGCACCCATAGCACGGTGGTTAGGCGTCAGCCACATATACTGAAGTTGGCAGGTTTGAACCTGGCCCAGGCCAGCTAACCAACAATGACCACTGCAACAAAAATAGCAGGGCACTGTGGCGGGTGCCCGTAGTCCCAACTACTTGGGAGGCTGAGGCAAGAGAATGGCTTGAGCCAAAGAGTTTGAGGTTGCTGTGAGCTGTGATGTTACAGCACTCTACTGAGGGCGACATAGTGAAATTCTGTCTCAAAAGAAAAAGTACATTACTAATTTACCTTCTAATCAGTTCCAGTGAACTTGGGATCATTATGTAAATATTTGTGTTCTGCTTCACACTAATCATGCTAGCCACTTATTGACGGTTAAGTGCTAAGTGTACATACAATCTCATATTAATGCTATAAGACAGCTCCTTTATCAGCAAGGAAAGAGGTTTAGCAAAGTAACTTGTAGCTGCAGCCGGTTCTTCCTAAGCTCGTAACCATTGAGATATTGAGCTGTATTGAAATATTTAGAAACACACATATGCAGAACGTAATTTAAAAATTTTTCTGCTTTCTGGGCTGGGCGCGGTGGCTCATGCGTGTAATCCCAGCACTTGGAAGGCCGAGGAGGGTGGGTTGCCCTGAGCTCACAGGTTCAAGACCAGCTTGAGCCAGAGTTAAGACCTTGTCTCTAAAAATAGCTGGCGTTGTGGCAGGTCCCTGTAGTTATAGCAACTCAGGAGGCTGAGGCAAGAGAATTGCTTGAGCTCAAGAGTTTGTGGTTACTGTGAGCTATGACTCCATAGTACTCTACCAAGGGGCAACAAAGAGAGACTCTGTCTCAAAAAAAAAAAAAAAATCCGCTTTCTTAAACTCACACTGGGCTTTCCTAAATTTATCGGTGTCCCTGCTAGTCTTTGTAATTTCGTCTTCTATTGCTTCCATCCTTTACCTTAGAGGAGAGACATCTGCCTAAAGTAAACAGATTTTGACTAAGGTGCAGCTTCTCAGGAAAAACAAACAAAAAGGATTAGCAAGTAGGGGCAATGAATATTTACTTATGTGAATCTTCTTTCTTTCTTTTTTTAACTTGTCTTGCTTTTCCACAGTATAAAACAGAAAACAAACACTTGCCATTTGGTTTATATTTACATAAACAACACTTAAAAGAAAAACCACCAGTTGATTCTGTATCATTCTGCTTTTATTTATTGTCTGGCTAACTTACAAAGACGCGGATGTCTAGGGCAGACTCTCCACCCTTCCATTTACTCTGTCCTGGTGACATACATACCAAAATGTGTCTGTTTACATAGTACAATGGTATGAAAAATTTTTTTTTCTTCCTCTATAGTTCCTGACTATAAAGAGGGAAAAATTCATTTCACGCCAAAATTTTCTGGGCACTTTAACAATCATTCCATTTCTGCTACTAAAATAATAAAACTGGTATTACAAGTTAAACTATAAAGACCTAACAGTTTTTACAAGTATGCAAATAATTTGCTACTTAGACATGAAAAGTTGATTTCTTTCAAATCACAAAGTAAGGCACCATTGGATTAAACATTTTTCTTAGCTTTTACTAAATAAAATGCATAGTGAAATAAATATTGAACATTGAATTTTAATACTGTAATACGTTTCAATATAAAATGATATGTGAATATTAAAATACTGTATTGCATCTTGAATATATTTATCTGGAAATTTTATGAAAAAAACATACATGTTAAGTTCTGATTTCAAGGATGAAAACACTCATTTCTGTGATTGGCCATAGTTGAATATTTTAGCATAGAGCTTATTCAGAGTTTAAGATGGAATTAGGTTGCTAACTTTCAGAGAAAGGGTGTAGGTGTATTAATGAAACATTCACTTAAAAAGTACATTCTCTAACATCTCTATTCTGGATGAACAGCAACTTTAAGCTGTGACCCTGTTTCAAACTTCAGAGTGGTACCTGCAAAGTTTCAATATAGAAGGAAGTGTCCAATTGTTACTACCCTTTATAAAATTTGGACCCTTCTTTGGGTTGGACTTTTCTCCACCGTATTTTTCAGGACAGTCACATTGCATCTTTTGTGAAGTGGGTCCTTAGGATTGATCCC